ATAGTCTTGGGAGCCTTTCCTCCTCTTAAATTTTTTGGAATAGTTTGAGAAGGATAGATGTTAATTCTTCTTTGAATATTTGGTAAAATTCACCTGTGAAGCCATCTGGTCCAGGACTTTTGTTTGTTGGTTTTCTTTGTTTTTATTTTATTTTATTTTTATTACTGATTTAATTTCTTTAGTAGTAATCTGTCAGTTCAGATTTTCTGTTTCTTCTTGGTTCAGTCTTGATTGTATGTTTCTAGGAATTTATCTATTTCTTCCAGGTTATACCCAATTTGTTGGCATACAATTGTTCATAGTATTTTCTTATAATCCTTTGTATTTCTGTGATGTCAGTTTTCACTTGTCTTCTTTCATTTCTGATTTTATTTATTTGAGTCCTCTCTTTTTCTTGATGAGTCTGGTTAAAGATTTGTCGATTTTGTTTATTTTTTCCAAGAGCCAGCTCTTGGTTTCATTGATCTTTTGTGTTGTTTTTAGATTATTTCATTTATTTCTGCTCTGGTCTTTATTATTCCCCTCCTTCTACTCACTTTGGGCTTTGTTTGCTGTTCTTGTTTTCATTCCTTTAGGTGTAAGGTTAGATTGTTTATTTGAGATTGTTTTTGATTCTTCAGGTAGACCTGTATTACTATGAGTTTCCCTCTTAGGACTGCTTTCACTGTGTCCCATAGATTTTGGGTCATGTTTTCATTTTCATTTGTATCAAGGTATCTTTTGATTTTTTTCCTTGATCTCATTGTTAACTCATTTATTGTTTAGTAGCATGTTATTTAGCCTTCATGTGTTTTTGTATTTTTCAGACGTTTCATTGCAATTGATTTCTAGTTTTATACCATTGTGGATGGACAAGAAACTTGATATGATTTCAGTCTTCTTAAATTTATTGAGACTTGTTTTGTGGCCTAACATGTAGTCTATCTTGGAAAATGTTCCATGTGCACTTGAAAAGAATGTATATCCTGTTACTTGGAGGTGAAATACTCTAAAAGTAACAAATAAATCCATTGGGTCTAATGTGTCATTTAAGGCTGCTGTTTCCGTGTTGGTTTTCTGTCTGGAAGATCTGTCCACTGGTGTCAATGGGGTGGGGTGTTAAGGGCCCCTATTAGTATCAACATGTCCATCAATGTTTGCTTTATGTCTTTAGGTGCTCCTGTGTTGGGTACATAAATGTTTATAAGGGTTCTATCCTCTTGTTGGATTGATACCTTTATCATTATGAAATATCCTTCTTTGTCTCTTATTATAGCCTTTGTTTTAAAGACTGTTATGTCTGATGGAAGTATTGTTACCCAAGCTCTTTTTCTTGTTTCATTTCCATTTTCATGAAATATCTTTTTCCACACCTTTTCTTTCGGTCTGCATGTGTCTTTCAATCTGAAGGGAGTCTCTGGTAGGCAGCACATGTTTGGGTCTTGTTGATCCACTCAGCCACCCTATCTTTTGATTGGAGCCTGTGATCCATTTACATTTAAAGTGGTTATTGATAGGTGCGTAGTTATTGACATTTTATTATTCAAATTTATGTTCTTTTCCCCTTCTTCTTCTTAAAGAAGTCTCTTTAACATTCCTTGTAATACTGGTTTGGTGTTGATGAATTCCTTTGGCTTTTTCTTGTCTGGGAACCTCTTCATCTGTCTTTCAATACTAAATGATAACTGCTGGGTAGAATAGTCTTGGATGTAGGTCCTTGTTTGTCATCACTTTGAATATTTTATGCCAATCCCTTCTGGCCTGCAAAGTTTCTGTTGAGAAATCAGCTCAAAGTCTTATGGAAGCTCCCTTGTAGGTACTAACTGCTTTTCTCTTGCTGCTTATAGATTCTCTCTTTGTCTTTAATCTTTCACATTTTAATTATGATAATATCTCTGGATTCATGTTGTTTGGGACTCTCTGTGCTTCCTGGCATTGTATGTCCATTTCCTTCACCAGGTTAGGGAAGTTTTCTGTCATCATTTCTTCAAATAGGTTTTTAATTCCTTGCTTTCTCTTCTCCTTCTGGTCCAATGATGTGAATGTTTTTACTCTTGATGTTGTCCCCGAGGTCTGTTAAACTACCTCCTCCCCTTTGTTTTT